AAAAAAAATATATTACAGCTTAGCCATGATTTGGATTGAATTTTAAGCAAAGTAATGCAAGTTATAACTTTGTACGGGAAGCCAGAATACGGTGTGCTGTCAAGGTGGGTGAAATATAACCTATTGTCTCTGATAGTAGGGGAGAACTCTCCCCTATTTCCCTCATAAGTAGCTGTTTTCATGAAAATACGTGATGGTTTGGATGGCAAGAGTTTGCAAAAAGTGAAGAGAGCTGGTACAGATGAATGTAGTGCTGTCCTTGTTCAGGAAAGGTAAAGTAACTGTGTACCTAGAAAATGAAAGAGAGTTACTAGCTGGAGAGAAGAGCTGTTGCAAGTGCTGGTACTATGCTGTATCTCCTCAGCAGATTGGATTTCTGCATCTCCCAGGCTAAACAAGAAACTTAAGCAGCCCAAAAGCTGCCTGGGGCAGCCTGGCCTGCTCTATTTATAGTCCTTCCTCCTCTTGCTGAAGACTGGCACCTTGCCTCTGCAGCCTGGCAGCCCAAGAGCTTAAGCGTGTTCTAAATAAATTCATAACGCGTCAGAGATGAAGCGCACGGGGCCAAACCGTCCCTGACACAGCACCAAGGAGCGCTCTGGAAAACCCCAGCCTCGCCCAGAGCCAGGGAATGGAATGTGCTACTGAGTTCGGCTCCACCGTGAGTGACCACGTTTAGCAGATCTATCTGCTTGGCAGCTATCGCTTGTTTCCTGTGCAAACCATCCCTCTACGCTCACGGAAGAGAAGACTCTGTTTATGGGCATGATTGCAGGCCAGAATATAGGTATGTGTTACACGGTTTTGGTTTTGCCTTTTTTTTAAAATTTTTTTTTTTTTTACCAGGTGTTGCCCAAATCCCCAGCTACTACAAATCAGGGCTTTTCCTTTCACATCAATATAGCTACTTTGACTTTCACCATTTGTACAGGTCCTTGGAGACTACAGCCCTCCAAGGCTTCTGTGCAGGTAGTCTATATTTGGCCTACAGTATGTAGTTTTCATCCCTCCGTCAAAAAAAAAAATATATTACAGCTTAGCCATGATTTGGATTGAATTTTAAGCAAAGTAATGCAAGTTATAACTTTGTACGGGAAGCCAGAATACGGTGTGCTGTCAAGGTGGGTGAAATATAACCTATTGTCTCTGATTTTCCAAAATTCAGCTGTGATACAGAAGGTATTCAAAACCAAAAGCAGTAACAAAAGTGCCAGGACAGAAGACAGAACTGAGAAGAAAGTTAAGTAGCACGCCAGCATTTGAGAATTTACCCAATGAAGCTGGAACAGCTCATGTGTGAACTGTATTAGTTTATAATTATTTACCTCTTTTGCCATCCAAAATAGCAACCGTAACCCTGAACTTCAGGGCAGAGGTGAAGCAGGGTAACAATGGCAAACCTGTGAGGTGCACAGCACATACCAACATTTGGAAGTGCACGTGCCCTTGCCTCTTCACAACCAGTGATGCCAACAGGGACATCATGGGACAGGAAGGCTGGGAATTGCATTCAGAAAGGACATCTGTCCTCCAGTGATAACTTCAGACAGCTTGCTAATAGAATTCAGCTCATCTTCCCTAAATTATTGCCATCGAGTATATTCAATAGCAAATAGGGATTGTTTGGCTAACCTGACTTGATTTAAAGTCTTTGTGCACAGAAGATATTTTGTAGGAGCATACACTGCAAACGCAAGTCCCAGTACTTTGGGGAAGGGCAGCTGATACCTCAGGCAGGAGCTGGGAGCTGAATTCATTTGTGTGCAGGGCACACAGCTATGGGACTGTCTGCGAGTAGCTGCTCCACGCTCTGGCCTTCTTCCTTCTCAGCCACCAATATGGCAATTGACAGCAAAAGAGGCAGAGAAATTTTGCAGGACCATGCAGAAAAGGGGATCACAGCAGAATATCTCTTCTCTGTAATACTCTTCAGTGTTACACCCTTAACTAGTCGATCTGGGCCAACCAGCAACTGGCCCTGTTACTTGCTGGCATGATTCAGGGCTGTAGCAGGAGCAGGGGCTGTTCCCAATAGGCAGCCTGTGTGTGGCAGCCCTGCTTTTGGAGACCAGCTCAATTTAACAGTGTGGTGACAAGCTGTGCCAATCAGTCTCTGAGCCAGAGACCAAGCCTGTTGCTGTTTAGCTTAGTGGTACAGCTACAGTTTCTGGGACAGATGTGGCTGCTCTAGTTTTCTATACTTCCAAGAGATCCCCTTCCCTCCTGCCTTTATTCCACTGGCACCACAACGTTAGTAAATCGTTAGTCACCATCTCCATGTCTGGGGATGTGCAGAGAGAGCTGAACTGCAGAACCACATGGCAGCACCTGTAAATTCCCCCCTGTTGAGCTTGGCAGTAAAAGCAGCCTGTGTATAATGCACAGTTTGGGATCCCCTTCCCAGACCACTGGTTTCTTCCTCTCCTGTCAATGTGCAAGAGGTGAGCCAAGGTTGCCAGCCTCTCAGGGTACTTCCTGATCAGAACATTACACCCTGTCCTCCTTAAGCTTGGCAGTGAAGCTGGTTTCCATCACTATGCCCATCAGCAACATAAATAAAACAAGCACAGGCAAGCTTTCTTTGGTTGCTTGGGATTTTAAGGTTATGAAACATTTAAGATGTTCTCTGAAGCCAGAGGATGTGTGGGTTGTAGAATGGCAGGAAGGCCCACAGAACTGCACAGTAATCGAGACCTGATAGGACCTTTTTGTGTGGCAGTGATTCAGAAATAGTAGCTCAGTCTGTTTACTGGATTGCATTGTATCAGTTGCCCACTGTTAGACCGACTGTTAACAGTCTTGCAGTTGGAACTACTCTTTCTTTCAAGTGAATTCCTGGTTAAGTCTCCAGCAGCTTCCAGTTTCTTCTCTGCTTACGTTAAAACTCACCACGGGCAATATTTGTGTTTCTGAAAATACCAAGGACCTGATTTTTTTGTCCGAATGTTTCCATCAGCAGCAAAACGTTACTTTATCCTCACTTTGCACAGATGTGAATGACTACATGTGGCACAAATCCTCAAGCTGTTTTTATTTGTGGATTTGCTGTGGGGGCTAAGGGATCTGTACCCCCTTCCCTGTGTCACAGAGCATAATGGAAGCACTGTTGCTCCAGCCTGTCTTGCCCCTGTCTGCCAGAAGTAATCCAACGTTAGCAATGCCTTCTCTGTACTAAAGGCTTTTTCCTTCTGCTGTCTTCATCTTTTTCTTATTTTTTAAGATTTCTGAGACAGAGACAATCTTCTTATGAGTATTTCCAGCTTGGAGCACAGTGAAGCTCAGGTTTCTAGGCAGCACTGATGAACAAGGATGAAAAATAACGATAAAAGGTAGGTGCAGTAATGAAATCTGTTCGGTTCAGTTGCATCCCATGCTAAACCTTTCATTTTCTGAGTCATCAATCTTCCTGCAGAGATGAGAGAATCCCTCCTTCATGTTTGTTTCTGGTGTAGCTTGACCGGGCAGTACCTTGTGGCCTGTTGAGCAGATGTGGGGGACAGACCCTTCCTGCTGCTTTGCAGAAGAGCGCAGGGGCACAGGCCTGTGGCATCTCATATCCGGTGGTGTTTTCCCTTCCTGACATTCACATTCCCTTCCTCCCACATCCTGCTGTTGCAGGGTGTATGAGAAACATAAGAGGAACCACACTGGGTTAGACCAAAGAGCCTTCCACTCCTGTATCCTGCCTCTGCAGGGGCCATGTGCAGACAAATAAATATAAAAAACCACCTATACACAATGACAACTGCCATTTGGGTCCTAAGTTTAATTTACTTCTAAAGTTGTCCTAAGCTTCCTGCTAAAGTGAAGCTGGGGTATGAAATACACGGTTCTATTGAATTTATGCACGGAAGCTAACAAGTGAGAAGGGTGGAATGCTAATGCATTTAGAAATAAACCTCAATTTCTAATACAATTTAGTTCCACAGTCTGAAAGAGAGAGACAGCTATAAAAAAATTACAGCTTTACATACTAATTGGGAAGAAATGCAATCTTAGAACAATATCAGAACAAATACTCTACACATGGTAGATTGCTTTCAATTTATTTCTACAGTTTTCATATATAAATACATATAACCTAATAGATATATCTATATTCAGCAAATAAAGCTTTGTATGGAAAGTAACCAGATATGGTACCCAGAACTTCACCACATCCTGTCATTTAATCTAGTTGGCATGAACACAACCCCTTTTGATTTGTACTAATTATCTTTATCTTGGTGTAGATCTCATCCTCTCTATCTGTTATGCTAAAAAAGCTTTAATCAGAGGGTTTAAGCTAGTCTTATTGAATTATATTACTTTTCCTCCCTAAAACAAAACTACATCAAGCTCAGTTTCCTTCTTTCCATGTACTTTTACATCTTTATTTTGATTAGAAATGTTATGTTTTCAAAAGGGAACAGAGTCTGTGTTTAGTAGGTTTAAAGCCATTCTAATTTAATTTGAGGTCAGAAAAAAAAAAAGACATTTCCAGACCATTTTAACTGAAAGGTGAGTCTAAGTTCACCTGGGCTTATGCTGCCACATGCGCTGTCCCCAAGTCCAGCAAATTGTGGAAAATTTTGGAGGTTACACTTCTTTTTCCATTGTCCTAAGTGTTATTGCTACAAGTTTTTTAGATCCTGAAGCTGTGAGACATCCCTGTGGGTGAGCCTCAAGACTCTTTTCCCCTTCTTACCATATCTAATGGCTGGGGCACAAACCTGGCAGCCAGTATCTTGGGCTGTCTTCCTGGACTCACCATCCGCCTTGCACTAAATCACTGCAAACTCTCTATTCCTGCCCTGCCTCCCCGCTCCCTGCATATATCTGGTCTCTGTAGAATATAGGCAGAGACACAAGTAGCATAAACATGCTATTGAGCCAGGCAGCTGCCTGCAACCGTCCTTCTGCAAGTATTTGTGTGCTGATATGCCAGAGGAAACAGAAGGTACTCACCCCTCTTCCACGGAGCGGCAAGTGCACTCAGGCAGGCAGGTACTGGCGAGCAGATGGATGATGATCGTGCTTCAGTTTACTCCTGCTACACCCTCTTCTGGAAACTTGCTGGTCTGCCCACACATCAGAATGCAAATTTATTAGATTACATGGCAAAGAAACTGGCCTCACAATCACAAAACACCCACCCCAGAAATGCCCAGTGTGACCGAGGCCCTTCAGACACCAGCGTCCTGTTGATACTGACAACTCCCAAACTGGCCTGCTCACTCCCACCTGGGATTTTAAAAGGTACCGTTTTATACTCTTGTTTTTTAAAAACTTGGGCCATAACTAGGCCAGGAACAGTTGTGAAATAGTCTGCAGTTCAGGTAATGCAGCTGCAGACTGACTCGCTCTTGAAATGGTTTAAAATGTGACATTGCACAAGTTTAGACAAACAAATTTTAAACGCAAGCTACAGACTGACCAGAGGTAACACTAAATTTCTGAGTTTAGTTTTAACACAGGGTAGCTGTGTTAAAACAGTAGCTCACTGACTTAACTTCAGTGAAGTCGGCAACAGTTTAGCATTTTCAGTGTGGTTGCCGAATATCTAGAGGTTTAAGATAGAGACTGACAGAACAAAAGGGAATGTTCTCTGTGTTTGGATGTACTGGCTTTCCATTAATTGCTAGAAAGGGCTTATGGTGGACATCTGATAAAAGTGTCTACTTAGAAAGGCTGAGCTACTTAATGAAGTATCTCTGCTGCTCTCATTAAGACTCGCATTAAAAGGCCAAAAAGAGCGATTAGTGTCAGAATAAACTGGACTTGCAGACAAAGCAATTCTGTTGCTTTGTTTTCTCCCTTAGGATGACTCTAGATGCCTATTACAACCACCTTTTGCTTTTGGCCTGATTTTATCATCTGTATTTTTATTCTACCAATGATTCACTAACCCTTTTGTTACAAGTAGCTTCTAGCATCTTTCTTTGTATTCACACCAGATTCAGAACAGAAGAATCTAGGCTATTTTTTTTTTTTATTTATCCTGTCTTCTATATAAGCATCTCCAAAGGCATTTTAAGTGGCATTGTTTCTGGGTGTTGGAGTTGTCACAGCTGGTCTGCACTGTTGGCTGTGGTGCTTTGGTGCTTTGCATGACCCAGGCTATAAGTAGAATGTTTCCAGTGAGGTCAAGGCTACAGGATTTGGCCTCCATGTCTGCTCTGCAAAGAACATTGACTCCGCAGGAGTCAATATATAGTATGTACAATGGATGAGATACATCATAATGAAGGAATAATTATGTTAAAGATGCCTGTCACTGACTATTTTGGAGAAAATATTCAGAATTGTTTTCTGTTGTTTTTGGAACGATAGAGAAAAATCAATAGTCATTCATAGGCCTCTCAAAGGAAATGGCTTCCATTAAGTACTGAATGGCAGTATAGCTCTTCTTGCATAGATTTTTTTTACAGATATCCATATATAAAGTCATAAAGTATTTTCAGAGTGGCACCAACATAAACCAGTTGAATTATATGAGCTGTATCTCAATCAGATTTTGGCTAGGATAAATACAAATCTTTAACTCCTCACTCTCTGCTCTTGAAAACCAACCAAGCAACTCAGCCATTTTAAGCAGAAAATGAACGCTTATATATCTAGTAAACGTCAAGAAATTCCAAGACCTATGGTACTCAGTATAGAACCTCAAGTTAACTGAATGAAAGTACACATCTGTAGTAGTTTGGAGCCAGTAGCAAATCTATAACAAACGTAAACCACAAGAAGGAGACAGAGAGCCATGCTGCATGGTCAGAAGTGCTCCGAGTCCAACCTGTACTGCATTAGTGTTGTACGTGGTTACAATCTTCTACAGAGTTGGTTGAATCTGAACATTGATCAGCATGTGTTGCATTTTCCTTTGATCTTGTAATTGAAACAAAATATTGGGTTTAGGAAATAAGACTCTGGCAGAAACTTCCTACCTAACGTTTTGTAAATCAATTAGTCTATCGATCAGCTGATCAGCTTCCTTCTCTGTATTTGCCAACCTGTGTTATGTGAATACTGAGGTAAGAATGAAATAAACATATGTCAAGTGTTCTGAGGTCCTTGTAGACACTTGGCACACTGGAAGTGCAAAGTATTGTTTCATTTAGGAGTTCAGGTCTTGCTATTTCTCTGCTACCCTTCAAACTGTTGAATTTCTGAATTTTTTGAAATAAACAAGCCAAAACCAAAAAACCTCTCCTAAATTCCCTTTTACCTACAGTGCATAGTTCTGCAGTTGTACTAGTAAAAATTAACAAGATAATATAATTAAGCCTGTGTTTTCTGAAAATAAGAAATGTTTATAAAAATGCTGTGAAACATTATTGTATTACACTAAAATATTAGCAGAAAGTAGGGATACCATTCCCTACCCCGGCGGTTCTACTATGTCTATGCGCCCCACATACAGCTGGAAGGCTCTTAAAGAACCCTGTGTTTCCTGCTTTCCTAAATACTCTGTTATAAAAAACCCCATTTATATTGCTTTTGCAGCCATTTTTGGTTGAAACTGAAAACCTAAACCTCTAAATCTCCTGGAGGAAAAGGAGATGACAAAATGTAAACAAGTAACTACTCCATCTGAAGATCTTCAGATATGCTTCCAACTGGGAGTATGGAGAAAGACTCTCATTTGCAGTTCATACTGATTTAATTAAAATAGACATAGTATAGCACTTAGATGTAAACCAACTTATAAGGAAGCTCACTTTTGCATTTTTTTAAATTGCACTGAAGGCACAGAGAAGTGCACTGAAGCCAGATAAGACCCCAAACTTCTAGTCCTGTTCCCCTTAAGAATACACTCTTCCACTTTCCCCAGCCTTGACCTCAACCTTCTTCAGACTGGACCTGGTTTTCTCATTCTCCAGAAACCCTGATGGTGAGTAAGCTAGCTCAGCACATTCCCTACAGGCAACCAGCCATGACTTAATCAGCCACATACTCTCCTGTGTAACTTATAGTTGAGAACAGGCCCCCTTCCACCACACTGACGGATTCCAGTGATCCTATCTTAATCTGCCTTGGAGGGAATAGGCTGCAGACTTTAGTTACAATAAGCTTCAGATGAGATTGTGAACAGAACGGAGGCAAAAAAGGTCTCTGGCTAGTAATGCAAATACTTTTGATGCGGATAGTGACTTCTGTTTTACTATTTATCAGAATGTAAATCTGTAAAATGCGGATCATATCTTTGGAGCCACAGATGTGTTTGTACAACCTTCCAGACAGCAAACTCCTGCTGTGGAGAAGTATTAATCCACTGCATTTTGAACCCAGATTTATTTGCTGAAAATCTTCAGGAGAAACACAGTGGAAATTACAAACAGTAACGACATTAGAAACCAACCCTCATTCGAGGACGTGGTGAAGATGTGTAACGTCAGACATAAGAGAATGGATTTTCTCCCTTTTTCCAGGAAGCAACTGAAAGTGTTCGGAAACACTTTGGGAACACATTCACCTCCTCCACCTAAATGGGCTCGCTGCCGAAAAGCCTGTTTTCTGCCCCAAAAGAGTGGCCCCTTCTTGTTGTTATGGATGGAAGCTGCTGTCATCACTGTACCTGGCACGTCACAGAATCACACAGAATCACATGGGGTTGGAAGGGACCTCTGGAGATCATCTGGTCCAGCCCCCTGCCAGAGCAGGTCCACTCAGAGCAGGTTGCACAGGAACTTGTCCAGGTGGGTTTGAATGTCTCCAGAGAAGGAGACTCCACCACCTCCCCAGGCAGCCTGTTCCAGTGCTCTGCCACCCTCACAGTAAAGAAGTTCCTCCTCATGTTTAGGTGGAACTTCTTGTATTCAAGTTTGTGCCCATTTCCTCTTGTCCTATCCCTGGGCACCACTGAAAAAAGACCGGCCTCATCCTCCTGACACCCACCCTTGAAGTATTGATAAGCATTGATCAGATCCTCCCTTAGCCTTCTCCAGACTAAAAAGACTCAAGCCCTCAGCCTCTCCTTGTAAGGGAGATGCTCCAGGCCCCTCAGCATCTTTGTAGCCCTCTACTGTACCATCCCCAGCAGCTCCCTGTCCTTCTGGAACTGGGGGGGCCCAGAACTGGACCCAGTGCTCCAGATGGGGCCTCCCCAGGGCAGAGCAGAGGGGCAGGATGGCCTCCCTCCACCCGCAGGTAACACTCTTCTTGATGCCCCCCAGGATGCCATTGGCCTTCTTGGCCACAAGGGCACATTGTCGGCTCACGGTCATCCTATTGTCACCGGTACCAAGGGGTCCCCAGACGCTGTTACCCGCCGGGAGGCGACAAGCTCCGCCCACCCAGGTCACACGTGTGCGGCCACGCCCGCCCAACCGTCCTGACGTCACCGCTGCGCGCCGCAGGAGGCCCCGCCCCCTCGTCGCTTTTCCCCGGCCGCCCGGAGGTAAGAGCGGCTCCTCCCGTCTCTCCCCGTGTCCTCATCCCACGCGTGGGGG